AGRYRSACGAGGGCGTGTCATGAGGGGAGGGCCTCCATCTTYGGTTTTGCGGTTTTAAAATGGCTGCTCGAGAATTGTATTGAAATCGCATTAAACGAATTGCTGGACTATCCAAATGSGTTAGTTAGGGAGAGGGGACAGGTTCCGGAACCCCTTGAACCACGCCCTTGACACGCCCCTGCTKGAGGTGATTTTTTTAATGCAATTTGACTTAAGTGAGTTGAAACCATGTGACTGTTAACATAAATCTCTTATCGCTTCCTACATACCTATTATTTCAATTCACAATCGCGTTGTTTCACTAGTGCTTAATAAAAACGGCTTTGAAAGAGTCCTTCGGCGGTTTTTTTACTTTGTCGATAAGGTAATGTTTTGAGTAAAGTGTTCGGGCCCACGCTCATTGATAGACAACAAATTATCAAATATTGTCTTGTCTTGATTCTGTAAAGGCAGATGGTTGAACGGGATTGAACAGATTAAAACCATAACTCCCATAAACGGTAAATGGATTGTTTAATCAAAGYGTCGCCAAGATTTCGGTCCCCCCACAGCGTGACAAAGCTTTAACTAAAGACCATCATTTACAGCAAAACAGRCCAAGACTGCGATAGGATACGCTCTTTTTGTAAATCGATAATTTTGCGCCTTTGAGCGACACTTAGAACTTTATCTCCTACTGTTTCGAATAGACAAGAAGCTCGATTTAGAATCAAGGGTTTTAGTGCCGGTACTGTCTAGCTAGCTTCCTTGCTTATGTTGCTTGTGTATTGTGTGATAGCACTTGTATAGAAAAAAGAAAGAAAAAAACACTTCGATATTCATTTACTCATTTATCCAACCAGCCATCAATTCATTTTTTGTTATTCATGTATTCGTTTGTTCGTTTATTCGTTAAGTTAGCCATCCATTCTTTCTTTTATTTATTGGTTCATTTTTTTTYCTCTTCATCCATTCATCTGGTCATTCAGTATAAATCATTTTATCCATTCAATTCTTAGTTTTTCATTCATTAATCGCACCTTGATGCACATTCTCAATTTGTTTTTTTTTTATGGTTAATTGGCCATTTTCTTTCGACTTTTTTTCTTCATGTATTCATATTCATCTGTTCGTACATCCATTAATGGTTTTCACACAGTACGCGTCCTCAGATATCACTAGAAATCTAATCATGRAGTAGACATAAATGTTGCCCATTTATTTTATCATTGATGACTTTATCATTGACAAAAAAGTGTGAAAAACAACCGAAAATAACACAGTATTATCGACTTGTTTCGTTTCTCTCTTTTTTCTTTTTTTTTTCATTTTTCTTTTATTCAATTTTTCACACGTTTGTGTTTTTAYAGTTTTTATTTATTTATTTATTTATTTTTTGAAGCCGCAATGGTGGAAGCTGTGTAGACGGRGTCTTGTCTTACACTTGTAAATGCAAAGAGGGCTTTGAGGGAGATTTATGTGAAAAAGGTACGTATTTGTTCATTTATTTGGACATTATTGGTTACAATGAAACCATTCCTTTATTATTTACAACTCTGTTGTCTCTCATTGTATACCTCTGTATAACGAACACTTCTACATTACGAACACCTCTGTATTACGACCAGCCCTGAATTTGAGATAACGCTATCCATGGCTGTTTTACTTCACACAAACAAACACTCGAATATCCTTCCGATCTCTCCCTGTGTTGACGATATTTCGTCATATATTTTGAATTAAGTCACCTTATCTTGTCCATAGATGTAGACTATTATTAATACCGTTAAATATTCTACTCTTTTTTATCCATGTACATTAAAATATTGTAGTAGCGCCGTAGCCGTACCATGCCGTGGAGTTGATGTATTGTTGAACCATTATATATACAATTTCCTTTTTCTTTCAAAACAAACCAGATAAAGACGAATGTAAGACGAATCCCTGCGGTCCAAAGCAGCAGTGCATAAATACCGAGGGCTCATACAAGTGTCTCTGCCCGAAAGGGACTACTGGGAACGACTGYTCTAAAGGTGGGCKAAAAACAACTGATTTGACACATACGRTTCTTGAGGGAATCGRCACTAATTGACTCAAAACTGTGACATTGTTATTGAGTTGAAACTGCTTTGGAAAATTAATATTTTTATTTTTGCTTATCATTTTGCAATGGTTKATCATTTAGTCCACCCCCCTCCCCCGTAACTAAATTAAAATGTCATGTGTTTTCAGATGTGRACGAGTGYGAGTCTAGTCCTTGTAAACATGGTGGAAGGTGTATCGATGGTAAGAACGGTTTCAATTGCGAGTGCTGTACTGGATGGTCAGGAGACACGTGCAATGTTTGTAAGTACCGATTACGACTGTAGCGTCCAAGTTAGTTTTGAAACTGAAAAGTACTGAAGTGTTACTGAGTTTTTTTTTTCTTCTCAAAACTATGTTTAAACGTTGTACTTTTAGGGGAGCCGRAAGTCGACCCATGTAAGTGTGAACGTGGAACATGCTACTGTGATATGAACACAAAATATACATTCTGCCAGTGTGACAAAGGCTTTGAGGGTAAGCGTTCCCTCTTGTTCAAAGTCAGTATCTCGATTTTCTGCTTTTGCGCGTTCATGTTGCTGTCTTTGCCATGGTGTAGGACCGGGGCCTAGCCCATATATTCGCAAGGGATCATGGGGTGGGATATAAAAGGTAAAGCCATAACGTGTGCTGGGAAAGAGTTCTATCAGCACTATCAGCACTAGAACTGTTAGAGAAAACCTAAAAACGTCCCTTAAAAACGATTTCTTCCTGATTAAGTATTGATATTAGTCAGACTCTCGTAAGAAACTCAGAAACTCAGCGAAAGCCCACAATAGATATTAAGTGAACTCAAGTACGTTTACAATAGTTCTAAGACTCTTGTTTTGCTTATTCATTAGGATCCAAGTGTCAAACAAATACCACAGCCGAGCAGATAAAGCGAAAAAGAGGTATAAAATCCTACTACTCGATATTATTTATTATTATGTTACACTAGATGGTTTAAGGAGGTCTTTAGAACCGTAAAAAATGTGTGACATGCGACTCGTGCCTGATTTCAGCTGCWTTTTCGTACGCAGAGGGCGCCATTTAAGTACTGCCAAAATGATGGGATTGYATTGCATGTTTTTTTTATCATCTAATTTTGACTTCCTCACATGACGCTGGTGTTTAACCAAAACATGGAGTTAGGAAATTTCCACCCTGTGGTGCCCAGGAGGTTTTCCGAGATACGCTATATGATATCTCCAATAGAGAGGGAGAGAGAATTTATTTAGAACAATTACATAGATAAAGACGTCATAGTGACCATTTTGACCACACGTACTGCTGAATTATTTCACTCTCGTCATTGAAACACAAACTATAATTGCGCTTTAAGCAAAAGCCAAATCGAAAAACTCAGTCCAGAAATAAATTTTCCTGCGAACGTGCCTCATCASCTAGCTATATCGATGTGGTGGCCGTAAAATGGGAATTACCCAAAATGCATCGCGCGATGTTCTGTTTTTTTATTTATAATGTTTATATCATTTTACAACGTTTTTTCGTCAAAAACTGTGGATATGTATGATGTATCTCTGTATTTTCAGAGATACTGAGTTACATACTMAGTATCTTTACAAATGTGTCATGACTTATAAATATATCTACGGCTGTGCAAAGACGGAACAATTTGGCACAACCTCACAATTTTGTAAAATAATCCATTTTTGGCATTTCTTAATAGCGTGACACTATCCCCTAGTCCTACATTGTCTAAGTTATAAATCAGATCTTTGTGATATCCTGCTAAGAAGTTAAATACAATGTCTTAAATCTGTTGGATTTTGTATCCGGGCTAGATTCTCTTCAGGCTTGCTCTAAGTGCATGTATGACTGTTGTTTATAAACAGAGATAAATTATATTTTACGTTTACTGTAATTAGCGCTAATGTTAATTTTAGCTGAAGCTGCAAGGAGAGAGAAAGAAACCGAAGATGCAAGGAAAGGTAAACCKTTTTTGTAACGTTCTCTTCAAAAGACTTTKKTTATTCAAACTARAGATWTCTRAGATTRTTTCTYTGATMWKTGTTGTAGAGAAAGAAACGAAAATCATCGCTAGTACTGTGACGGTTGGTCTGGTGGCCTTCATCGCAGGCGGTGCTATTGTTTATTATGTCATGAAAAAACGAAGCAAACCAATTCCATCTAGTAAGTAGAGTGATATATATAATCTACCCTTTTACTAGCTACTTTCTCCTTTTTTGACACTCCCTAACTYTCAATTTATTTTTATTTCTTTTATTCCCTTTCTTTCAYTTTTCACTTTTCACCTTTTCTCTTCGAAGAGCACACGGCTTCCATCGAGCGGGGCAATCGATGCCAAGRACCTTTTCCTTCCTTCTTTATTCGTTTTGTTGTTAATCCCTTGTTCTTATTGAAGTAGCGAAAATTGTGAAAATTAACAGCATCCTAAGTAGTGTCATCGATTTGAATCAAATCTAAAGGGTGGGTCACACTTGAAATAAGTATTTTAGGCAAGGATGTTTTTTTTATGAATGGGAATTTTCCACAACTACTTGAACACATTAAAGATACTTATTTCTATTGTGTTTGTCAATTCATGTCAAAGGCAAATCAGCCTTCACCCTCGACCGTCASAATTCCACATTGTTTTCGTATCTTTCTAGAACCGCTGGACGACAAAATGGCGGACGCATTAAAGTACGACGGAGGACAGCAAATGATGTTTAGCAACCCAGCTTATAGTAAATCAGGCGACGAAGAGAATTTTTCTTTAGGTTTAGACGGAGAACATCTAACAACGTCTCAAATATAATCCCTAGTCTCCCCTCCCTATTTGCGAAAATGTCACATGGTCAAAWTCAGTTATAATGAAATGGTTTTCACGACCATTTTTAAACATGATTTTAAACTAAAGTCATTTGATTTTAAATAATTGAGTGGCACGTGACCTTGATGGCCAATCGATTACCAAGTAATTTAATGGCATATCACGTGCTTAAACCCAGCCAATGAGAACTGAGTTATTCTTTCATATGGTTGAGGTTTCTGGTAATATTTTTCTCAAAATTTGCTTTATTCGCTTTTTCCAGAATGACGAAAAAATACTTTGTAAATGATAATAACATTTTTGCCACATATACAGTCACGGATTTGGCATGGATTTTAGTTTACATAAATTTTAATTATTGATCAGTGATGTTATGACGCCCAAAGTGCTTGTGGCGTTATAATTYTATTTATAAACATAGGAAGAAAAGGTATAAAAGAATTTCTCATTTAAAATAATGAATAACACGACGCTTTGAGGCGACAAAGGTGGCGATACCCATATTGAATGTTACCGCAATGTAATTTAAAATGTATACAAAAACTTAAGATAAAAAAGGCATATTAACCCGAGATGGTTCAATTAAAACTAAGATGTTCAATCTGGACGATAGCAGTAGGTAGATATTGGAGTAATTGATATGATTTTTTGCCAATAAAAAGTTAAGACGGATTTTATGTGTCTGATCCAGTATGATGAATTTTTAATCCCTGTGATAATTTTTTTYCCCTTTTAGCGAAAATCATGATCAAGTTTTTAAGACTAAGGCGGCTCATTGGTATGCATGCAAGCAAGATATGATTGATATAAATCAACCCTGGCTACTGATGAGATGAAGTTGAAAGGCAACTTTTGATTTGTCATACTTTGGCGGTCGGTTTCTTAGAAATTATAATCAATAGAGCGGAGCTGATTATCAATTACGCCATCTTGAGACCGTCTGTTCAGACTGTTCAACTTTCCTCGGCTACGTTTTGTCTTTTCTCTTTATAACTAAAAGCAATTCGACGCCAGTAAACATCCATCCAGGAGAAGTAATGTAAGATTTTATTGCAAGCTTCATTTTTTCAATATAGACCGGTAGGTATCTCGATAAATACCACACGGCCATTCCTGTTTTGATGGAACTGTAAAGAAATGTTTGATATACAGTGCAATAACCATTTATTCAGTCAAACGTTATGTGAATTAGGCTCAGTGGTAGGTTTAGAAGAAATTCAATGCTAACCAATGTATATATTTGGTACTTTAGGTCCTTTAATTTAACTGACACTGTGACAATGAAAGGCCATTCAGGGCAAATAATGTGCCATTTCATTACATCTTTCTTGCTTTTAATAATTCATTGGRGTGATTTCTGTACAACTCCCTTGTCTGTGAAAAATACGCTTAACTTAAAAGACGCCGTTCAGCTAAGCACAGTGTTAGGTCTTTCATTATTCGCACTTGTCGCAATATAAACAGCATGAAATATACCCACTAGGAGRACATAATTAATCTATCGTGTTTATGACCTTTATTTTGTTTTGATATCGAACGGTACCTTTATGAATTGAACTGTCTGAGAATTCATCTATTCAAGTTGACTTAGCCCGTCTCACCCATGAAACAAAGCTTGCAAATCGGCGCGTTAACACTGATATATAAGATACTCGAAGTGGACAACAATGTAGTGCTGCGACACGCCGCTATAAAAACAGCTTCCAACGATTGATGGAACCGAATTTGTAGGAATGAGTGTAAGTRGTGAACATTGAGAGATAATAGTTAACACTAAACATTGAAATGCACTAAATTTATAAGTTAGCTTTATAAACATATCAGTGTAGAGAGCCACGTAATTTACACCTGACAATCTSAAAACGAAGCACTTTCCTGAAGATAAATCTTTCTTCCTTTTTAAGGTTCTTTTTCAGTTGATTTGTACAAAGTAGTGCCTAAATTCGTATACTCAATYTATATATAAAAGCTCCAAAGGGCTCTTGCAATACGCCCCTTATTTCAAACTGAGTTTGCTCTCTARAAGAGCCAATATCTTATCTTTAATACGAACAATTTTACTCTAAGCGATATTCGACTGTTGAGATTGTTCTTGCTCTTCACACTTCATGACCTCGCGTTTACTGACAACAGTATTTATGTTACCTTGGCGACATGATGGTAATAACACCAGTGAATCTTAACAGTTAAAAAGCCATACRTATCATGCACTATTATACTGATAAACATCACCTAGAATGAATTCTAGTTTTTTTATTTTGTTTTTTTTTTCGTTTGTGTTATAGCTCTTAGGCTGATCGGAAAAACTATCGACATTCTAGTTGGTTGTGGTTAGTTTTTCTAGTCTTTTTTTGCAGTATAATTGGAAAATTGTTTATTGAAAACGGAAGGTTTCAGGGTTTTGTAAATTGGTAGATCTCCCATTGYGATTTTAAGCTATCAATTTATATTCAATATTTTGAAAAAATTCGTTTGATGATTACATACACAAATTTCAATTATGAATTACAGTTTAATAAAAATGAATGTTTTCTTGTCATTTAATCTTTCGAGAATGATTTTCGTATTTAATTATAGGACTCTAAATTTATACGCCTTTTAGATCATTTCTCGATTCAGTATAAATTACATGCGGTTGAATTTAAATAATTGTTGTTTTTTTTTAATATTCTAGTGCATCATTATTAAACCATTATTGTTGTTAATAATGTTTTCRTGTTCCTTTTGTGGGAAACTTACGTCAGTGACTCCATATTTGCTTGGCTTTTTTTTCGAGAATCGTTTTTAGGTCAGACAAAAAATATTGCGCCATTAAAGAATGAAAASTATAATGTTGTTATCGTACAATTACTTTTATACTCTGGGTTTGATTATATCATGGCGAGTTTYTGATTACTGACTTCCAGTTAMTTAACGAAAAGAAACTCAACTCTGCCTCGTGCTGAGAAAATTGAACCCAATAAATCATTATCGATTCAAACCGTTTTYACTTTTAGTCATGTAATRTTCACGGGAATAGGGGAGTTGAGCCCTCTTCTGTCYGCGAGCAGCTGCAATTGTTTCTCATTTTCAATGGATAAAATTGATGTCAAAAAGAAGAAGTCGGTGAAAAGAAATACGCGAAAAAAATTGAGGGCACGTTATATTCTTAAGTTTAATTCAGGAAACAGGCCGTTTTTTGAGATATTAATAGTGCTAAGATTTCGAGCAGATTATGAGCTCAGGCTTATATTTCAAACGGACAAACAATGATAAAAAATAGCGAATAATTAGYTCATGGAACCAATCAGTGGAACGGGAATCCTCATTAAAGTTTAAATATAAACTAGCRAGACCTGGATTTGCATGGCCAATGAGCATAATACTCAAAGAAGGTTTGCCTAAAAAATCTAGTTTAAGAGAATCTTTCAAATCGGAACTGTATTGTTTATTCCTACCCATTTTATTTGCTTTCTTTTCAGCAAATCAGTTCAAAAAGCGCATGCATGTGGCGCAGTTAAGATTTTTCAGAGGTAAAACACGATTAATTGAACAGGAGCGAAATTMATCGCCTCCCTCTCTTCAAATACACAAAGACTGGTTCGTTAGCAAGYTTACAGCGTACAGACACTTCATTCATAATGTTGAGGTAAAAGTGCTTGTCTCTACCAATGGAACTGAAGCAGGTGTCACGAAGCTGATTTTGACCGAGGAGTATCTTGAGCTCTTGTTTCATTCGCTGATGGACGCCACCTAATTGCCAATTTAAAATTGTGACAGTTTTCCCTGCCATCGTGACAGTATAAAGGTCTATTTGATCACTACACGCTAAGCTATCGAACAAGTCGAGACTCAACCAAGTATGGCTCCGAGTTTTGCATCAATTCTTCACATTTTCCTTCTAGGGATGCTGATTGTTCTTATTATAACCGGTAACCTTTTGGTGATTATCGCTTATAAGACAAACCAAAGATTACGAACTGCTACGTACAGGTTTCTTGTGAGCCTTGCCGTTTCAGATTTCTTAGTCGGCAGCGTATCGCTACCACTGTGGACCTACTACCTCAAATATTATCCAGAAAATGGCATGGATGAAACTTTGTCAATATTCTAYGCTTGTTTTGATATCTTTAGTGCAATGGCCTCAATATTTCATCTCACTGCGGTAACCTTAGAGAGATGGRTAGCAATTTGTAAACCATTCTACTACAACACATTGACTAAACGCTCGTATCATACGGCCATCTTAATGGCTTGGTTGATGGCTCTTGTTGTTGCTGCCCTATGGCCTGGWTATTATATACATGAAGAGACGGATCGCAGTACGGGTTATAAAATCTACACAGTTGTTATATTTTTAGTAGGGCTCGTAATTCCAGCGATCTTGATTACATTTGTCAACCTGAGGATTTTCCAAGTCGTCAAGTCTATTGTCAAAAGTTCACGACAACAGATTGAGCAAACATCGGATCATCATGTCATTCAAAGAAACATCAGCAAAGATAGAAAAACGGCTATAACACTAATTGTGATAACATCATTATTTTTCCTTTCATGGACACCGTTTTTTCTTACAAATCTTATTCCTGTTTACTGTCTTCAGTGCTACAAACCACTGCTGGGGAACTTTGCGTTTGTGGCGTCAGTGAAGTGGTTACATTACAGTAGCAGTGCTTACAATCCCCTTGTGTATGCGTTCCGTGATCATGAGATGCGAAATACATTCTCTCGACTGTTTAAACGGTGCTGTGAGACCTTAAAAATAAGAAGGAAAACTGTCTCTGAAGAAGACTTTTCGCTAAACACAGACTTCATGTCAAGGGCAAATAAAAAAAATATCGGAAGGGGAAAAACAATGACAACTATGGAAATACCGAGTTCGCCGCGGATGTGATTGTTGCARATCATACAAAAACTGACAATTTATAAAGTACGGATCACGTCCAAATCTGCGCATTTTTCTATTTCATTTTTTTATTGTCATTTTGTCCTTTGTACATAAACATCAAAATAAGACAAAACCGCTGCTTCTACAGGTGTCTGTATTGACTAGTACCTTGGCGAGGATTGGTTTTGCAAATCATTTCGGAAATGCAACGAATCCAATGTTTATTCTAACATGGCCGTTGTATTTGCTGGTTGGCCAGAGGAGGATTTGTTAATCTCATAGTGTATGAAACAAATTTTCACTGAACAATGACAATTATATAAAAAAATTCCGATAAGCATTCATTAWTCCGTTTTACAACGTGTGTTTATCATTATGACTTTCAATACGTTAAATTGGCTTTTGCTTCATATATTATCGTCGTGAACAAACAGAGCGAGGATTTTCGAACTCAGCAAACAAAGTGTTTTGCATTCGGTTCACGTTCATCGTTGTATTTTGAATTATTTACAATAGCTATTGATTTATGAATGATCATTTGACTAAATTCCCCATCGAATAACAGTCTGAAGGTGTAGATTGACTCATGACTGACTTGATCCAGACCTTACAAGTGGGCTCTACAATGCCTATTAGCCTAGCTTAATATAAAACCCTTTTTGGAACTTTAATTCGATCAGTTATGTTTTGATGGCTATCTGATGGACTTTCAGGCTAAATGTCATGAAATCCATCTTCTAGAACACTTCCACTTTAATTGCAACTAACGTTTTGCAGCAGTCATGAATTTCTTAAAAGTAATGCATATATAAATATCCACACCCTGTTATATATATAAATAGCAAAAAAAAAAACAAAACAAAAAACGCGCCATGACAAAAACACTCTGTTATTTTTTTGYACAGACTTGATATCAGAATAGAGCACTTACAATCAAACAAATTGTGATCAACAAGTGCTCAATTCTAAACTACAAGATGTTTTCGTTCCAACTGACAACTATTTATATCATGTTTTCCTAAAATATAACAACTTAAAGTGTACATATCATTATTCATAATAATTCTTTATTTGCGTAGTCTGATCACTAATAAAAACTACTATTAATAAAGATTTGCAAAGTGCTGAAAATCCCCCGCAAAACAACGGATCAAATAACAACTTAAATGTGACTTTGAGCACGTCAAAGACGATTCCTTCGATTCAAGATTATAGATTTCCATTATGTGACGCATTTTGTGGAGTGCCATTTAACCAATTTGATAAAATGTGTGATTGTGGAAGCACAGGGTCTAGCTGTCGGAGAAGGATGTTATTCCGTCATGTTTTATTTATCCCTAGCGATGGGGGACTAGGAATYCCTATTAACTTACTGCGTCGCTTTGGCTCCTGTTTTTGACTAAAATGAAGTAATAAAGCGGTAGGAAATGGCTTTGTCTATTCAATACTTTGGCAGAATCACTTATCTTAAATGAGTGGGTTTTGTTACGCGTATTGRAGGTATCTGTGTAAATCTTGCACTAAGCGAGAAACACAGACAAAAGTCGCCTCCGACTGATCTTTCTTCCTTTTTATTCATTTTTCCCTATTATTYCAGATACAATTTTGATGAATACAGACACGAAAAATGCATCAGCAACTGCACCTGCYTACTCTTAGAAACTACCCTTAAGGCTTTCAACCATTTTGGTCCAATACGTTTAGCGATTAGGAAAGCGAGAACACCCTTATTTTTAGTCAATAATTATTGATCTCCCCCCCGTAAACTTCGTCGAGTTTTCATTTTTGAATGGCAAAAACTATCAATACTTATTTGCTTTTTTAGTAAACATTTCACCATCTTTGACTGAACTTAAACCAAGTTTTCCACAATGTGACAGATTTGGTTTGAGCTTTGTTGACACAGCTTTTCTGATCGCATGACACTTRGTAGCGATGTGGATAACTTTTGGAAAGAGTCACGATTACCTATGTAAGCAGTGAAATTGTATAATGTTATTGAGGGATAAATTGGCCAGGATTCAGACATTTCCACTATAGCTAACATATAAAAAACATGATTTTTTCCTCTGAACATTAAGCTTGAAGTATCAATATACGTCAGAGGTGCTTATTAGGCTTTTTAGCACCCAAGATAACACTGGAATTAGACGATTTGCGGTGAAATGTTAAAGATGTTTTTACGTGTTTTAAATGTCTAAAAGGCCAAATGCAATCACAGTTATTTTTTGTTTGATTCAAAACCATCTGAGCAGCTTAGACAGCGCGTGGCACACAACAAAAACCTCATTTTCTTCWCAGTGAGGGGCTTCAAAGATTACAGTATACATACAAAAATGTAATTAAAGGGTGGTGTTTGATTTTTTCCTATTGTTTTAAGTTAAAAAGTAAGGTTTAATTAAACGGTCTTTGTTAATGCTATTCATGAGTCACTGGAGCGAACAACTCAAAAAATAGACAAGTTCATTTCTTGTTATGGAAAGTAATTCCATGTTTATGTTCACCAGATTGACAAACATAATGATTCACTACACATTTGATTACGTACAATTGTCATCAAACAAACATATCAGGGATAGAAACGTTCGTGATTAGAGCAAAGGGCATCTCMATAACGGCTAGAAAACACATTCAAAATTTATATATCTCAGTATGAGATGCTTGATATGGATAAGACCTCTGGGCAATTTGAAAACAGTCCAGAGCAAGGTTGAAGTATTTTTTTTTTCTCGAAATGATATCGACGAATAAATAGCAAAGAAATTCTCTAGTGTTCGCGTTTGCGGATGTTTCTGTCAAGGAATAGCAGATCAAGGATTTATTACGAGAGTTTCTCCTTTCCTCTGAGTATTCGTCGGTATTAAGCGATAAACTCATGCCCCAAGGGCCTATTATCAATATTACTGCACACTTTTTCACTCATTACTCTAAATAACTAGCTTTTATGACGATTTGAAAGCTGCAAAGCAGTCAAGATAAGTACTTTTAAGAAGAAGGAAGTGTTTACTGCCTGACAACAATTTGAAGTGGGGCGCAAGATCTTTGATTGTCCTAAGGCGAATGAAATCTTTTATACTGTCTATAGCTTCAGTCGTCATGAACAACTCAGATTGACAATTAGTCAATAGCCATATGAACTATGTTCACATCTGCAATACATTCATTGCGTTTGTGTGGATTGATAAACTGTTTACAATTTCTTGATATGATAGAGATGCGAATCAATCTTGCAAATGGCTAATGTCGAGTGGCGATATCATGACCGAAAGGAATTGTGGGTTTTGTGCATCTACGATATGATCATCAGTTTGAGTAGTGTGAATAATTTAAAGTTATTTTCAAGTAAACTATTGCAGTCCTGACAATATATACCCTAAGTTGACAGCTTCCTTTTTAGACGTGCGAACCATGTCTCTCGATTGATGGATTATTATTTTTTCGAAGGCAACTGTAAAGCTTGGAAACGATGTGGACTTGACCTGTATTGCATGAGAAAGACTGATAGATGATCCTGATAAGACTGATAAGCGCATGACTCCAATACTATATCTTGACTGATAAATCTTTATTCCATTCCCTATCTATCAGTAAATTGATGTTTCTCGAGTTAAGGGTGTTACCGTAATTAAATATCTGATTAAAAATGCATTTTAAGATATGACAAACACCGCTATTGAATAAATGATTRATACCTGCACGCCATGTAGCTCCATGTTCCTTCTTGTTTTTCTTTCTTTCTTTCTTTCAATTTTCTTTTGTTTTCTTTTTTGCCTTTCTTTTCTTTCTATTCCTTTTCATTTGTTTCTTTTCGTTTTTTTTTGAGGATTTATGCAATTTATTGTCATTGTTTAAGAGTAAAAAAAAGCGCATTTGTTCGTTTTAAGAGTTCTTTACAAGACTCACTGTAGCCAACGSATCATCATTCATCGATAATTTACTTACTTTTGCCCAAGGGCATGGCWCCTACACAAGTCAGACTACTCCAACGCTTGGATCTATTAGCATAAAACACTTTTGTTCCTTTGGTTTCAAACTAGATAGAACGCTCGTTAAATGGCAATGTGTTGAAAATTGTTCTTCCCCAATGGAGAAAATAGAAGTCCACAAATAAATGTTGACTCCCACGGCAATTAAAAAAGCCTTTTAGGGTTTGATTAAATTCTTTGATAATTAATAGCTTGAGGCTTCTTTGTTAAGTAATCATGTAGATGATTTTTTTAAACCCCAATTTGTCCACTACACGTCCTTAAGCAGCATGGAGGGGAGGGGAAAACCGGTCCATACCGGTCAAAACAAAATAGTATACAATCATATTTATATAAAAACGACTTTTTTTCTTGTTATTCCCTCGTGATGTGCTGAAAGCTTGTTTGTTCATTATCAGAACTCTTTGATTAAGTCTGATTTTTTTTGGTTGTGCAGTACTGATATTACCGATAACCTCCTTCCGTTCTGCATTTAGTGTGCTATTTACGGTAGAAACAGGAAGCCCGCGCCAATACGAAATGGGCCTGGACGGTCCAGAGAGCAAATTCATATTGTGTATCTTCAGTGGTGGATCCGTTAAGAAGGGGGTTGC